ATTAAGAGGTTTAGATCAGCTGTTCTCAACCATTTTGGCTTGTGACCCCCGAAGCAATGTCTAATTGCGAACTGTCATCACCGGTTGCAGTGAAGCCAACAGGTTGAAATATATATTCCTGCTTTTGTAATATGTCTGTATCTTAAGCAACTCAAATATATCTTATTTATTTAAGATAGTCTGGCTAACTATTGGCTTGTCTACAAACTAGTTGATTGCTTCACTGCTCATTTCTTTAACCATGGGACTATTTTCCCATGTTCCCAGATCTCAGCAGTTACTTTTGCGAAACCAGTTCTACCAAAACTGAGAGAAACAAAACTACAAAAATAACCAAGCTGTAAATAAACCAGAATCCTCCTTTAAAGTTTAGCTCTGTTTAAAAGAGTGCGTGAAATCAAACCAAACTAGAAACACTCGTGTGCTTCGCGGGGCTCAAAAAGGTGCCTCAGAGGTATGTGTTACACATCCTGCACATCTTCCAGTTGAGCAGAGAAGGTGAGTGTGTGCATGAGGGCGAGGAACAAAAGCAAATCTTGTGGCCAGTGGGGCCTCCGCTATCAGCATGTTCCTGTCAACGGTTCGCCGTGTCACATGGCCGCGTCCCTAATGTGAGCATGTGTCAACGCTCATTTTGCATATCTGACGACAAAATATAGTTTGCAGGAGGGCGGCTTTGCACAGGCACAGCGCTCTGCAGTCATGACAAAACTCCAGCGTCTACTTTGAAAAATTGTCAAGAGATCAGTGACTTGAAATGAATGAGAAAGAATAAATGTGATCCAAAAAGCACAACTTTAGTCTCTATTCAGGAGGTTTCTTCAATTTGCAGGTGCACAGCCCCTTCACAGGAAGCTAGAGCTACCACATAACAAGGGAGGAGGAGGAGGGCCTACAGAGTGACTGCATCCTGACAGCAACCTCTGATTACAACCAATCAGAACAACACAGTCTGGTTGAGGGCAGGAGTAAAACCAGACCATACACCTCCACACTGCAGTGCCAATAAACAGCAGGCCTGACTCACCCAAAGTCTACTCAACACCAGCGTCAAGGTAGCCAGTGATGAAC